GGACGATCATGCGATTCTACAAGCTGCATCTGACTATGTCAGATGAGCTAATAAATACTGTAGCCTTTTTTCAGTTTTCCCTCATATATTTTAGCACGATTCCGTTTCACCATAGGTGTATAAAAGGTCAAACACAGTATATGCCGGTACAAAATAAAATTACCTCTTTCTCGCGCTTTCTTCTCTCCCTCTCTTTCCATCCCTCCCCATCTCCCACTCTGCTTTCATCTCCCTCCCTGACCCATCTCTCTCGTTCTTTTCACATCCCTCCTCTTCTTCCACTGTGCTTCTTTCTTCCTCCCTATCTTCTCTCTCTCTCTCTCTCTCTCTCTCTCTCTCTCTCTCTCCCGCTACCACTCCTTTCCTCTCCATCTTCTCTCACACATGAATAGCATGCATTCAGAAGCGTATATATATACAACGGTCCAATGGGCTAAACAGTCGGTGAATGCAATCCAACTACGTCTAGTACGTTACACATTGGCGACAGTCGAGCCATCGATGTTTGCTAACAATGCTATACGTGCGCAGCTGAGTCTATACGGGAAAACGCGTTCTCGTACATACGAGCAGGCAGAAATATTTGGGACGGCCTGGATAATAACCGGAAATATCTCCGCTCGCCACAGCACGGTTCTGTCGTGTATTGACTGGCGCACAGCGGTTATAAAGGCTTCTCATCCATAGGTGGTGATCAGCGCAAGGCACTGAAAACGTAGCCCGGAAAACGGATTGCAAGGCGCCGGGGTTCTTCAGCGACCACGGCGACACGAAGCGCTTCAGGCGAAATTGAATTTGGCAGCAAAAAAATTCAGATAGAATCACATTAGGCGTACCTAAATATGAGCCGTGGTTTATAATAAGGCAATGGCGTTTCTTTGGGAAAAATAGCTCAATGTTACATCCCGGGGAGTTTCTACAACATCTCGCAAGTCAATCCCACCCTACTTGAACTTCTAGACGCACTCGATGCGTATAAACATGGTTATGTTTCCATCGAGATTGAGTCGCAGGAAAAGCACCAGCAACCGCCACGCAAACCGAAATGTCAGTTTTGATATGTGAAATTATCTCCTGGATTGGAGGCAGGGTCACTTAGATTGCCAGGCTGTATAAAATAGACTCAGTACCGTATTGTATATGGTGATGTATGTACTCGTGATCCAACACCCCTAGTCGAGTCATCCTCACAGTCGAGTTTACCAGCTTTCACAAATCACCAGCGTGATAACTGTAAGATTTCGAGATGCATGTGCAAAACAGAAGCGGGACATGTTTGCATGAGCCAGAACCACCACTGTTAGTATGAAATACGATTATGTTCAATCAGGCATAATATTTTTGACATTGACTACATCACATAAACCAACGTTTCCACCTTTTTGTCGAATACAATATAGTACACGCAGCTCTCTGTCAGAAGCCAAGACATTTCGTGAGAGATGTATATGTCAAATCGTACACTTAAAAAAAGCAAGGGGAAGTACAGCCTTTTTTTGGCTAGCCGTCGTAATCGAAGTATGTCATCAAATCACCTGGAAAAACAACCCATTAATCCACTCTAGTATAAACTCTATATATATATATTACTTCAACGCATACTGTATTGAGTGTATTCTTTAAATAACTATCCCAGTAATAAGTTAATACGAATATGTGAACAGCTGGGTGATTTATGATACACGTATGCCAACATGCCTCATGCACCATGACCAGCTGCAGCTGTAGTACGTCAATACAATTACAGCATGAGCGCTATGCACGTCACCATGAATCATAGCACTAACTTGGAAATGATGATACAATGTGTTTACTGACACAGGTGGAAGGGGAACATGTATCAAAATAGGACCTCACCTAGTCAGAGCTAGCTAGCTAACTACATGCGCCCTTCATGGGCAACACCCATTCACAGACATTGATCCAAAGGCTGCTCCAGGAAAATACTGTGCATGATCGGTCGCACTGGGTTTTTTGTTCGATTTAAAAACCCTTCGCAATTAAACTAGGAATTCTCCTGATGGTAATAAAAAAAACAGACGAGAAAAATATCTCGCAGCTCAACCTTGAACGAGTGCATTTTATAGGGCACGAAACAAGTAATGGAAGATTCACATACACTCATTACCGGAGAAGTATCCCGGAACCACCGTAGAGCGGGAGAAGGATCCTGGAACATTCGGGCAAAGAAACTCCGACATCCGCCTACAAGGAGGGGGGGGGGGACTGGGAGAGTCCTCTGCAGCAACGCATTGCTGCGGCCTCCGCATAAAAGCATTTCCCGGGTGCAGCCACCGAACTGCCTCCTAGACACCCACGCGGACGCAGCAGAAACACTCCGAACGATCGCCGCGCTAAAAACTATCCGCTGCTACGTACTTCGTCGGCGGCGCCACCTACGCTTTCTTCTCACACGAGATGACGACGCGGCGCGCGCTTCGGCTTGCGTCGCGGCAGCCGCGGCGCGCACGCAAAAATAATACTGCAGATCGACGGCAGCAGCGACGACGAGACGCCGCCGTCTACGACGCACACGCGCACGAGCTTGCACGCGAAACGCAGGATTGCCGTCAGCGCGGCCCGGCAGAGAGCCGCGATCGTCGTCGCCCGTGCCGGAAGCCACCATCAGTCGTCGGGAGGGAGCGGCGCGGGTCCAGGGTAAGGCTCCACGCTCGGAAGGTCGAGCGGCATGGCGGCGGCGGCGGCGGCGCCACCTTCCGCCGCGTCGTGGGCGGCGACTCGCTGCGACGCCTGTAACGCAGGGTATAATATATATATGTATTATATATATATATATATCCTTAGTATATATATCAGTGATACTAAACTTTTTAACATACAGATAGATAGATAGCTAGATCAATAGAGACATCAATCGATAGGCAGGCAGGCAGGCAGGCCGACCTAGCAAATTAACCGAGTGACCGACCGACCGACCGACCGACCGACCGACCGACCGACCGACCGACCGTGACGCCTGTAACGCAGGGATTGGTTGACGTTGTGCCGGAATGGTCAAATGATTCAAATTGTGCAAGTGCGAAGTTTACAGTAATGACAGGGGCCAATCCATGGCTGGGGTTTCTGTGAGCAAAGGATAGAAGTGAAAAAGACAGACAGGGCGAGAAAGAGAGAAAGAGAGGGGGTGAAAAAGAGGAAGAAATGCAGAGAACTAGAGCAAGGAATGAGTGAAAGAGAGAGGACCATAGCAAAAGAAAGCTGGTGTAAGAAAGTGTGAAAATGGAGAGACAGTGAGCAAGAGAGCGAAGGGGCAGAGAGGGAAGGTAGAGATATAGGTGGGCAGAGAGGGAGATCGCAGGAGTAAAAGAGGAAGAAAAAGAAGGAGAAGGAGAGAGATGGGAGAGAGTCAGAGGTAGGAAAAATAGCTAGAAAGAGCCAGTTTCCATCGATCATCACAACTAACATCAGGAGTGAATAATAGAGTAAATAATCAGAATAATAGAGTGAATAATCAGAAAATAATAAGAGTGAATAACCAGAATAATAGAGTGAATAATCAGAATAATAGAGTGAATAATCAGAATAATAGAGTGAATAATCTGAATAATAGAGTGAATAATCAGAATAATAGAGTGAATAATCAGAATAATAGAGTAAATAATCATAAAAATTTAGTGAATAATCTATATTATTCACTCCTGCTAACATGATGCAACAAGAATAGCCAGCCACGCACGCACCACAATAGTACACAGCAGTAGGACAAAGTAGCGAGTACTTAGGCCTACTGTGTAAGCTGTATATTTCGCGATGGTTTAATTTTCGCGATTTTCGCAAACGCGTCCCCGACCGGGAAATTGTGACCACTCACGAAATTGTCCGTCAAGTCTGATTTCGCGAAAATATCTGTACGCGAAAAATACGGCTTATATACAGTAGTTGTACAAAAGACACACTATGTAAGTCGATCGTTAACAATCAACATCAGGCCCTATTTATAAGCTTAGCTACAAGTACACATGGAGGCAGTCTATAGAGAGCGCAATTCTATCGGCCGCTGCACACTCCAGCTGCTTTTTCTTCGTCTACCTCGAGATTAAACAATAAGCATGATATATGAATTGGTTATGTTGGGTCTATACCTTAAGCCATTGTGCTAAACCTACAAACTCACACACAGAATCAAAGAATTATATATTATATTATATCAAAGAAGCAAAAATTGTGTCCTTGTGCAATTCTCAGCACATATATATATACAGTATGTGACCATCGTGACCCATGTAAAGCAAGGGTCTATATTATTATTATATATCCTTGCATTAAAAACTTTTTAACATACTAATAGACAGATAGATAGATAGATAGATAGATAGATAGATAGATAGATAGATAGATAGATAGATCGATCGATAGATAGATAGATAGATAGCTAGATCAATTAGGCAGACAGGCAGGCAGGCCGCGACCGAACGACCAACCGACTGTGTGACCGCGGGACCAAGTGACCGACTGATGAACAATAGAGACTGATAGATATAGACTGATATAGATTGCACTCTGCAATCCAATTAACGCTAGGTAATGCTGTTTATACTTGTGTTTGTCGTTGTTGATCATGGACGCACTTGCACTACCCAACAAGCTTCATCTGACTACAGCACATAAGCTAAAAATCCAATAAGTTCACACGTGTAGGCAATGCAAACACTCAGCACTGCAGAAGTGGTCAGACTACAATGCAGCATTCCCACCAAGTGCGAAGTAGGGGCTTAAAAATGTATAACATGGGCTGGATCACAGCTTTTAGTGACAGCTTTGAAGTCGGATAAAATGATATATTATTTAATAACAAGAGCGGAGTAATTTATGACTATATTCATGACATTAAAAAACCGACATTTAGAATCGGGAAACGTAACACTCAAACAGAGTATTTTTCATACCTGATCGGGGCCTGGGTCTACAGACGCCTCTGCCAGGTTCGTAATCGATTTGCTTTTCACGCACTGGAAATCAACATGGCGGCTCTTGTTCTCTTCCTTCTCCCACGACATGCGAATGAATGGCCGCTGCACGTAGTTGTATATCACCTACAAAACATTAATTTACGTATACCTGTAATCGTGTAAACAACGTACTTCATAAACTACGCAACTTGCCAATCGTCGCTGAATCTGATTCCCAGCTAATGTGGCAAAACATTAATAGCGAAGTAAAATAATGTGGTAAAAATACATTAACTTGGTAGTGTTATACAATAACACCAATGCACAAGTTGAAGAGTTTTGCGATCATTCCACCAGAGCTAATTTTAGCAGACGTGATATACATGTAGTCGGCTGCATATATAAAACGAGGGCTGAAAACTCTTCAATCTGTGCATTGGTGTGAAGTTATTGCATAAAAACACTAAGCTAACACATTTTTACTCAACTATTTTTAGCTCTAGCCTTAAATCCTAGACTTAAAGCCTTAAATTACTACTTCTGCAGGAAATTCAGCATGGATGGAATGCAAAGCGGTCATAGTTTATTGGGTAGGATTGGGTTCATAATGTAACACACACTACCCACAGGGGCTTTCATCGTATGAACCACCTGGCATCCATACATCAACATGATACAGTGATGTTTAGTCCCACGACACCCTCAGATGCACTGTCGTAGCATTAAAATGGTGCTGCTAGTAGTTGCCGGTGCTTATTCCCATTCACCCACTACATAGCAGAGAGCTTGAATAGAATACGATTGCACGTACCTCAGGTCGTCCACCTGGCCGTTTCTTCACCTTTTCCTTGTAGGTCGGGTACCCCTCAATGCCCAGTCGAATCTTTTTCAATCCTCTCTCTTTCAATACAATTTTGGCAACGTCTCTATTCTCAATGTACTTGAAGAATCGGTACATCGCTGTGCTATAGATGACTAAAATCAACAGAGAAAACCCCGATCAGAGACATCAAAGGCAAGGTTTTTCAATTTGCACACCATTGTGTGACACTCTCTTAATGAATAAACTAACTGTGTAAGCGCTTAAAAACATAAAACTAAATATATGTTTCACTACAGTTTTGATAACTGCCTATTCCAATTTGCAACATTACTCTGAACAGCTCCTAAAAGCTTAATAATTACAGATTGATTTTTAAAAGATTTTTACTTCTGAATTAAGGTCATCTGAATTCAACATGGGAATCCTCTATGGCCATTATAGCAATATCATTCATAGCATGGTGAAGAATTATATCTTCAACTACCTCGTGCACCAACAGGTAAATAAAGAGAAAAAGGGCACTCCAGAAAAGACAGTTAACAGTTGTAAAAGTGTTTCTACCTGGGTTATCCACCAAAATACTGTTCTCTGTATTTCCGCCACTAACCCGTAATTGATTGTTGACTGACTTGAGTTAACCGACTTGATTGATCACTGACCCTACATTCACCTTACATTTGTATTATTTCAACCATGACGATGCATATAAAGTATAAACACCGTAGGTTCTCTCTCATTCCCCGAGACCGACAACAACAGATGCCAATGCTGACAACAACAGAGTCAATATCACTGCACAGTCTTCATCTCATGAAATTAAAACCAAGACCAACAAGCAATTTAATATTCCACGGACTAATTAGTCTGTTTGTTGTGCATGTCTGGTGTGTGTGTACGTGACAGTATGGTTGTCACCAGAAGATGTGCTTGGGAAAACATGTTGTGCAGGCTTGCAAGGGTGACTTCAGTAAAGCATTGTGTCAGTGGCCAACTGTTGTACGTTTTACACACAAAACACTGCCATTTCAAACACTGCCATTTCAAAGTTCGCCCAAGTTGGCCTGCCAGGTTCTATTATTACTAAGCCTTCGCCGACAGTGCAACACATTTTCTAGCCATTTTCCAATTTATTATTTCATAGCCAGTGACAATTAAGTTAATCATCCAGAAAATTTTCAAAAAACGTAAAACGCAAGTGCATGCAGCCTGGGTGGCGGCAATGCAACAAAGCTTCCCCTCTGTGTCACAGCCGTGCGACAAAGCAGCAATAAATAATAGCAAAATACTTTCGACATTACAGAGACTCCCCAACTTATGAACATTCAAGTTAAACTTTTGATGATACAAACAATTTGCCCTGAAGTCCATTAGTGTATAATGTCAATATTGGTAAATAAACAGACACAATCACCCCCCTGATTTTGACTTTCGCCAACTCCTGTATTCACGTATATGTTTACACTATGTACACTTCTAGGTTACTCGATGTTCACACGTACATATACTACACTACTGTAAAATACTGTATACGTACGTACATATGTTCGACTTACGAACAAATCAACTAATTACGAACGACCGCTCGGAACCGAACCTGTTCGTAAGTCGGGGAGTCTCTGTACTATATCGGCAGCAATTTATTATCACTTTTACCTACAGTACGACAGGGAAGAGTATCAATCTGTCTGTATCCTCCTAACGTCTAGTTTTTATGGGTAAAGAATAGACGGGAAAAGAATATCCTGTCAACTAAGTGCCTGGGTGTACTAGTATATTTCATAAGCCTCTAACTCGGTACCGTATTGTAGCAAAAGCGACACTGACACTGTAGAAAGCAGTCTGGCTCCTGACAAAAGGATTTCTTTAGAATTGCAGAACTGAAGAGATGTGCAATTATAGACAAACCTGTTTGAACAATGATAATGAGGAAATCCAATATCCAAAATGTATACATTTCTCTTCAACAATGAACCTTGATGAGCAAGCTAGATTGTCATCTGACATTGAATTGAATTGGTATTGCCACTGCACTACAATAAACACGTCATGCCATGCTCATCAATGGAAATTTCACTCACGTGCACGTTCCACCTGCTCACTCGCCCCTCCCCCTTCCCTCCTTCTCTCTCTCTCTCTCTCGATTTATCTATGTCCTTCCATCCATCTGTCTAACCATTGTCCGTCCATCCATTTATATATCTAGGTTTCCCCCCTTGCGTGCGTGTACGTATATTACAGAGTAATATGAATTGTGCGTCTGTGTCAGAGACAAAAGGTGATTGCTCATCAGCTGTCCATTACAATCCTTGTAGAACCACTCTAACGATCCCATGGTTATTCATCACTATACACTCCTGATCACTATGCTATGCTACGAAACCCATCAAACCAACAGACTTTGCTTACTAGTGGCCAACGTTTTTTTTACATCCCACAGTCAATGCTAAACCAATAACCGGCTAAGTGTCAGGGGCCCGTCGTCAGAAAAATATAAATCTTAACATTAGCCTCTTAACATAATCTTTTAACAATCTTTTAACATAATCTTTTAATCTTAACATTAGTTAATTTAACTTTCTCTCGTGGACAGGACCTCTATACGGTGCGTATGAGAAACGCGTAACTTTACCATGTTTCTGTCAATATTAATTCTAAGAGGTAAAGCTGATGTTAAGACTAATTTTAAGAATAACTTTGTTTCCGACAACGGTCCCCAGGTGACGATATACTTTCAACGTTAGCCAATCTAAAGTTTGAGCTCAATACTGAAACTCATTTCAATTTATTTTCTGATTAAACCTCATTTATCTAGTCGAATACAATTGTGGTTTTAGAGGCTGTACAGCTCAGTATTGCTGACTATCTGCATTACTGCATTTCTACTCTACTGCTCTAATGCCTCTGTAACTGCATGCCTATTGCTGTACTGCCTCTGTACTGAATCAGACTCCTGACTTTGGCCGAAATCGAAATATTCCGCACTGCAATACTACATACATTTTCTCTCGTTTTGCTAAACCATGGCTATACTAACTACAAGCAACATAATCACAGCAAACTGTAAATATATGGTGATACTCAAACTCTGTTGAAGTGTGTAGCTTTGAATGGCGTAGCACATTTTTTCCCTAATGAGGCAGTTATTTGTGATTGTGACTTTTTTTTGAATACTTGGTCGGGTGTAGTAAACTTAGTTTCTAGTTCTGGTAGTTAAAATAAATCAGCCTGTTCATAGAAAAATTCATCACATCCACAGTGTCCCTATTAAGTTGTGTTATGCATACTGTAGTGATTGTCACATGGTAAAACTAGCAATAAATTACAGTTGCACCTTAAAACACGCATGACACAATTACGAATAACAATGCTTGCACATTAGATAACCAAATTTCAATAAACCATCTAATAGTACATGTTATTCCAATGTTTGTACCAGAGTATTCAACTTTCTTACCAGGTGCTAGAAACAAATAAGAGAACTGAGAATCAAAATCAGAACATCTGCCACAATTTTTTAATACCATGCCTAAAAAACACCTGCATCATTGCGTAATTCTTGTTTTCTAAAACGAACTCAAAGAGGAAAAATGCCAATTTCACTAGCGCCCCAATTTATGCACGCTGGACAATATATTAATTTGAAATGCTAAGTTGATACACCCATTTAATGAATAGCTGTAGGATTTTGTAGTCTGTTATTTATTGATTGAGTCACGAGATATTTGATTAACTTGATTGAGATGCGCATGTAATTATACGGTTGCTGAAACTTATGCGCACACGAACACAAAATATCCTAGAGGGCCAGTCTACTGTATTATGATTATCAAGTCATACTGCGCAAATTTGGTTGGCTCTTAGTTCAAAGAAAGTCCCCAAAAACATGTACAACATGTACAAAGTGGAAAATTCAAGGTATGCAGCTTTGCAAGACCCTGATTATCATGCAGCTGGAATCCTCGCAGACACTTCAATTCTCACATGAAACCTATGCTATCCTCTCAGTTTGGCACTACACACACACACACACAAGCAGCAAACTTATAGCTACACAAGCAACCAGACACGTGTAGAACTACCATGGAAAAAAGCCATCGGTGCCATCAACAGGGCAAGTCCTGGATGATTTCAACTAACTTGCGGTTAAGTTGATGAACTATCAGATGTTTCACAGCTTACAGATTACTTACTCTGTGAGTACTCTTCGCCCATGTTGGGTGGATACTCCTCGTCCCAGTCCACAACATCGTCATCGGTCAGTACAACTATGTGGCATTCCCTGTCACCTCTCTGTAGTAGAGTAAAAAAAAATTATTCATCATTATATACAAGATGCAAGATCAAGTCACGCGATTGATTTTGGTAGGACTTCATTGGAAAAATGTAAATTTCATTAACAAGATTTAATGTAATCCCTAATATATGCTCGCACAGTTGCATGCATACATTAAATTACATTTACTGAAATCAATCAGATAATCCCTTTTATTTAGATTTGTGTATTTTGCAACTGATTTAACATCCTATGTATTTAATTTAAATAAATTTATCTCATATTTCAAATAACGGTTTTTTCCTAATACAGTCACACCCGGCGTTATGGCAACTCAGATTATGAACCACTCAACTCAGGACATGTACATTTTCTCATAAAACTTAATTTTCCAAAGAAACGAATGCGTTTTTCCACTCAAAAACTTGGCGTGCAAAATAGTCGTCAGTAGAATTAATGTGCACGAGAAGTACAAATAAGTAATTAAGAGAAACCTGACAACAGATCAGCGAACCAGCTTTGCAATGTGCCAGTAGCCAATTTAATAGATTCCTACTCTCAGTGTAAACACCTACACGCACAGTGTGTATGGAATATGCATGCTCCTGCTATCAGTGTCCTGTATCCAGTGGTATCCTGGTACACAGTAGTACATCTTATTATGAACTCTATTTTACCCTCACTGTGGCTGAGAGGGTCGTAGCGCAGTGCGCTAAACAGCGTGTTATTTTCGTATTTGTGGCAAACTCTATCGTAGGAAACGGTTTTAGCGAGCAGAATGCCCTAGTTCCTGAGATCGGCGATTTGGTGGTCCAATGGGTCCCCATCTTTAAAAATATAAGACTGGTGCGACGTAGGCTGTGATTGGAAGACACAAAGTGTCAATCCTCGGCGCACCTCGTCATCATGGCCACATCATGTCCAGTATTATTTAACCCTTACGATAAGGAACATTTTACCACTGATTTGATACCGAAGCTAACTATTAGTGAGTACAAGAATTAAAGATAGCTCATAGATGTAAAACATAACATACTGAATGTTCAGTAATGACAACATTTTCCATACCTGGGCGCAGGTAACCATAACAGGCATGATCAGCTCGTTAATGAAGATATCAAACTGGTTCCTAGCACCCTCATTAGACAATTCATGAAGAAGGCCACCTGAAACAGATAAGCTTGTCGTTAGCAAAGTCACATACTGTATACGCTGTATATTTTGCGGTGGTTTAATTTTCGTGAATTTCGCGAACGCGTCCCCTACCGCGAAAATAACAAAACGCAAATAATTCATACCGAATAATACCGAATAATTCACCAACCGCGAAAATAACAAAACG